AGCAGCAGCTGCTTTCTGATCATCTGCTTCTCTGCAGTCCAGGTACTGCCTGTAGCACAGTCACTTTGTTTTATTCGTGTCAAATTGTCAAGAAGCCAAAGAGGTCAGAGAACAGACCCCAGTTTAATCTCCGCTGTGCAGAGTTCCTGGAGTCCTCAAAGCTCCTGGTCTGATCCATGCCTCTGCCTACCAGGGATACCTGAGTGCATGGCCTTTACAGGTGCCTTGAGTCAGGCACACCTGGCACACTCTCCAACATTCAAGTGCTGTGGAAATCACTGTTCCAGTGCTGGAAGCAATACCTGATCCCACTGGGTCCTTCCCACCAAACAGTCTCACCTGTGCCATGGTTCCCATCACTGGGGCTCTTCACTTGGCCAGTGTCTGTAGGATCAAACCCAGAACAAACGATGCCCAGTTTCTGGGCCCCTTCTCATCTTTGGAACCACGTTGTCTCTTGCTCTTGAAATGTACCTGTTTGCCCTTGTTTTAATAGGATTATGTAGTAAATTGTCCCTTGTGAGTTATCAAAGTTACAGCTGAAATATAGAGAAGCAGATGTTTATCTGCAATAGGGCAGCAGGTGAGGAAACCAGAGGCCTTACCTACAACCAATGCATTTCCACAGGAGATTCAAGTCCACCCATCTGCACAAATTCTCTCTCTGCACATGACAGCTGAACACTCCACAGAACATTAAGAAGCAGCACAGAAATATGATGGAAAATAGAGCTAAAAACCAAAGCATTGACCCAACCTCACCAAAGTCAACCTCAGCAGAGGGTTCTTTCATGCCTGGCATTTCCGAGTGAAACCAGCAGCAGACACAGTAATAGCAGGGATGAAAATAAACAGAACCTGTATCACTCCCTCACCTATTTAACAGCTTTATTCAATTGACACAATTTACATGACAGAAATGATCACATTTATTTTCTTAAATGAGAGCAGAAGGTGGCACGGGCAGGCACTGAGCAGTCAGGCTTTCATATTCCCTGGGCAGAACTAAGTCAGCTCTGCACTTCACAATTCAGTAAATGCAAAGAGAAAAAGATTTTGCTTTATTTTACTTGCAATAAGATGCACTGATTTTTTTCCTCTCCTCCAGAAATTAACTTTTCTTTTTTAGAAGCCACAAGCCAGGGCACCATGCATACAGCTCTCACAGGACAGGGGGACTGTTCCTAGTGTTCCAGTTCCTGAGGTCTTTGCTCCCAGTATGAGGGAAATGAAGATGAATAAACTCTGAAAGATCCTCATAACACTTCCCTCGCTACAGGGCTACCAGCCCCACCATCTCTCAGGGATCCTCTGTAGGTTTAAGGATCAGGCAAACCTAAAGCAAACCCCAACTCACCCGTGGCTGAACCCAGCGATGCATTCCTGACGGCCTGAGAGATCCTGTCTTCTGTCACCCTTGCAGAGCTCCCAGGCAGCTTTATATCTTCCTCCTCCCAGCACTGGAGCCACAGCTGGGGGAAGAACAATACTGTGATGGATAGACAGACTCCCATCAGACAGAGGGAACATCTGAGAACACCCAGATAAGGGTGAGCTTTCCTCTTCAGTGTGAGGGAGAATCATTAGGCTCATCCATGGACAGGTGCCTTTTTTAGTTTCCCTGTCACAATTCAGGCAGGGAGAAGGCAGCTCAGGAGACTGTGACCTTTCCATTTTGTTTAAAGAAAGAAGGAAAAAGAAAAAGGAAAAACAACAAGGGAGAACCCACTAATGCCTTTCCAGCAGCCTGCAACACAGGGCAAGAGAGGCATCCACTCACAGATTGTAAGGAAAGGGCTGGGGCAGTAGGGTGGGCCATCCTCTGTGCCTGTCACATCCCATCCACACAGCCCTGATTCTGCTTTCTGGCACCAAGAAAATCCTCTGTGCTTCCTCTCTGCTCTATTCCTGCAAGCACTTCTCTCCAGTGCAGGGAAAAAAAAAAAAAAGGCAGGAAAAGAACAGCAAGGAGCAGATTTGCAACCGCTTTATAAACCAACAAGATGAGTCGGCAGTTGACCCCACCTCACCAAGCCTTCCACTTGCCAAAGGGCTATGGAACAGCAGGTGTACCTGGTCAGCTCTGGCAGGGAAAAAAAGCCACGTTGGTGTGCAAATGCATTCACCAAGTCACTGTAACTCCTTTTGAGCAGCGAGGCCTCACCAGCATCCCTCTCACCCCCGCCAATGTTGCTACTTACCTTTGCAGCCAGCAACCCCACCGAGGAGAACTTCAACAGCACTTAGGTACCCAGCACATCATCCTGGATCAGAGGGGAGACTGGCAGGACCGTGCTCATAGTTCAGAGGAGTGACAGAGCGGGTTTACAGAAGGAAATCATGACCAGCAGCACAAAACCACAAAATGTGTCACCCCTATGACACAGCAGCAGCCGCTGTGAAGGACGTGCCTGAGGCACAGGTTAGGGTAAGCCAGGAACCAGCCAGAGATGCACGTTGCTGCTGGCACCTTTGGCAAACACCCTTTTCTCCAGGCAGTTTTCCCAAGCCCTGCTTCAGCGTTTCCACAGCAACATAAATTGCTGACTAACAAAAGTTCTCAGACACTTCCAGTCCTCCTCTGTAGATTTCCAAGAAAATTGCACCTATAAATATCCTGCTGTAAAGAAAAAGTGACAGCAAATACTCAAAGGAAAAGTCTGCTTTGAACTGCTGGTGTCCAGGGCCTGATCCACATCCACATCCACCGAAAAATGGATTTACTCTCAGGACAGGTCTTTCCCCATGAGGGCTATATCTCAGAGAAAAAATGTTTTTATATCCTCTTATTAGACAACATTCTTGCAAGCATGAATGGAGACCAAGCCAGTGAAACAACTACAGCACTGCTCTTGTGAGGCTGCAGGTGATCTGCAGACATTTGCATGAGATGGCAACCAACTTTATTTATCAGCAGCCTGGATTTGGGAATATTGGTGGGGGTTAGGCAGTGTCCACCACTGCTGCAACTGAGCAGCAGAGAGTGAGTGCACATACTTCAGGCTGCTAAACGAGGGCAGAGGTAGAGCTCAGCATTTCTTCTCACTGAGAAACAGTACCCAGAACTGACCTGGCTCTGTCCCAGGCCAAAGGCCAAGTACTCCAGTTTGTGTGAGCACTGTCAGTTAAGGAGCAGCCCTGACCCAGGATGCTGTTGACTACAGCCAGCCACAGCAGGAAGAGCAAGCAGATGCAGAGCAGAAAAGCCTGAGCAGCGTCCTCAGGGCAGCCCTGGGTGTGGACACACCACCCTACCTCCAGGGAGGGGCTCTTAGTAAAGGGCTGCACAGAACCCACCTGGGCGAGCAGCTCCTCGTGGGGCTGGACATGCTGACTGACCACCCTTGAGCAGCAACTGAGCCTTCCCAGCCCGCGGGAAGGACACCTCCCATCCTGCTGTCCGTGCTGAGAGTGCACCTCCAAAGGTCCTGCTGGCCCTGGAATGGTACATGAACCCAAGGGAATCTGCAAAGCAGAGAAATGAGGGCAGCCCCCGGATCTGGTATTTGCTTTGAGAAAAGGCTCAGGCCGTCAAGCTTATTCTGAGCACTAGAGGGAAGACTTCAAGGTGACCCATCCACAGCATTCAAAACTGAGCAGAGAAGGCAGCAGGCACAGACAAGTGCAGAGTATCTAGTGGACATTTTTCCAAATATAACACTAAAGAAATCAGGTAGATTCTCAGGTAACACAGACAGAAGGGATCCCAAACCTGCTTCCATTTCCAAGACACCCCACCACTGAAAGGGATCTGCCAAAAAGGGTGGAAGACGAAGAAAAGGCTATAGCTGCAGAACATCTATTTAAAACACTGGATGCTGCAGGAGACAGAAACAGTCTGCTTCAAAACAGTCTTCCCCTTACTGCCTGTGGGGCAGTAAGAGGGTCCTGAAATCTGGATCTTCCTAGGGCAGTTACAAACCTGAGTTGTGCTTCACTGGCTGTCCATGGTAATGTGATGTGTCTGACAATCTATCACTGAGCAGAGATGGAAGAGGAAATCACACAAGAAGTAGAAGCAGCAATGAGTTACTGGACTGTGCTTTGCTATAAGTTAATGCAGTTGCTAAGAGGTGGGTCTAAAAAGAATATAATCATCACCATGCAGTCAAGATATGCCTGGGTCTTTGGGAATACAAATGCTAAACCTTTCCCTGTGTATGAAAATCTATTAAAAGCAACATCAGACAGAGAAATAATCTGTTGTATTTTCCTCTCAGATGCTCAGGGCACCAAGAGACAGATCTGTTTGAGAAAAGTAAACATTTAGTTAAACATACCAGCCCAGTGAATGACTCCAGGTTTCAGTTTAGAAAGTTACACAAGTACCTACAGCAAGGTCTGTTCCTGTTACAACTGAACTGGCAATTCTGCCTGTCCCCACTGCCCTGCTCAGCCACTCCCGTGCGGTCACTGTGCTTTGCCGGCCTCCAGAGCTGGCTGGGAGCTCTGTGGGCAGAGAAAGCAAGTCATTCTTTGTCCAGAACATTCCTCCTGGCCTCCATCTCCTCAGTCAAACCACCCAGTGGACACAGGAGCTGACCAGGGCTAGCAGGGGTCAGGTCAGGGGCAGCTCTGAAGACAGACTGCTTTAAAGTCAGTGTAAAACCTGCCTGTGCCCATCTCTTATCAAAGCACCACAGTAAGAAATTTCCAAAAGGGCCTGTCTTAGCTCCACACGTGCTACAGACCCAGAAGTCTGTGCTGGTTTCTCCGTTATCTGGGAGGCTCCAACGCAGCTGTTCTGGGGTCAGTTGTGGCAGGTCTGGGTGGTCTCTGGTCACACCGAACGAGGCACCCCTGGCACGGTCCATTTGGGGTCAGTTGTGGCAGGTTTGGGTGGTCTCTGGTCACACCGAACCCCTTGCACGGCCCGTTCTGGGCCCGCCCGGCCCCCCCCAGCTCTGAGGGGCTGGAGCGGCCGCACAGCGCCCCCTGCTGGCCGGGTTGGGTCTAGGCTAGGCCCAGTCTCAGCCCAGCCCCAGCCCAGTCTCAGCCCACAGCCCCAGCCCCAGCCCTCCCCACTCCCCACACATGGCCCAGCACAGTGCCCTGACACACCTTTGTCACCTGCCGAGGCAGATGTGCAGTCAGTCGATGTGGGGTATGGCAGACACAGGAAGCAAGGCATCCGGGTGCTCTTGACTGCCTCTCTGGGACTGAGAAATTTGGTATTGGAAATAGCTTTTGTTTCTTTTCCCTCAGCAATCCATGTTTCATGTTCCTGCTCTGCAAACCTGGCGGTTTCCCAAGCAGCACACAGGGAAGGCTGCAGGATCCCTCATCAGGTCTGACCAAAGCAGGTGTTCCTGACACACCAGAGGCAACATCCAAATCCTCACAGACCTGACAAGTTTCCCCTTCCTTCCCAGATTGTGTCACTTCCCTGTAAGACTCGTGTATGGGAGACTTTGCAAGGCCAGTGACTTACCTGAGAACATGCTCATCTACACCTTGAACCAGGTTAGCCAAAACCCCCTCAGACAAGTGTTCTATACCAGCTGCTCCCACACAGATGCTCCAGGAGCAGCTGAGAGCCTTGGCCAGAAGCCATGCACAGAGTGCACCTCTCCCCTCAGCACAGACCAGGGACCTGCAGCACTCGCTGTTCTGTACAGACCCCATGACACCTCCTGCAGCACAGCAGCAGTCACAGCCCCAGCCAAGCTCTACTGCCATGAGATCATGCCTTCTCTGTTGGCTTGAGGCAGCTTCATCAGCCTTACACAGCATCACTGTTGCACTCTGTGCTCTCCCAACTCCCCTAACAAGTGGGAGATCGAGGTATGAGCTGTTAACTACGTAAAGAAAACTTCAGTCACCAGCTGAGTTCACCCAGTACTCAGATTTTATTAAACAGACTCTATACAGTACAAAACCACACTGTGCCGCAGCATCCCAGATACCCCTTCCCCACTTCACAAGCTGTCAGAGATGAACCACTAAAGCTTTCTGGATGGCAGGGGAGAGCCAAGCCCTGACTCCTCTCCTTACACACAAGGCCCTCCTGTACTTGTCATTGCTCCAAGGAGAGCCTTCCTTGCTTGTAATGACAGGGGCAGGATAACATGAGCTGTTAGCCAGGGAATGCAGCCCCTGCAGACAAAAGCATCCAAACTGCATTAAACATGCAGCAAGTTCCAGAATCCATTCCAGTTACATGCCTCATACCCAGGGGATAAAAAATGTGACACCCTCCATCTAAGTTGGCAGGACACCAACTCATCACTCCTGCCAGCTCTGAGGAAAGGCCAGAGCTGTCACAGGGTGACATGAATGCTGTGGCTTGGACAAGGATCTGAGGCAGCAGCACAGGAGCAGCAGAAGCATCCGTCTTCATTAGCAAAACACTGAAACCCCAGCAGAGCCCAGGACAACTTCTGACAAATCTCAGCCTGTCAAGAAAACAGCCAACATTTTATTTTGTCTGAACACTCTGCTACAAACAGCATATATACAGTTTTCAAATTCACCCCCAGCACCCTCAAAATCCCCTATTAGATAAGGGTTGCTCTGTAAAGAGCAGAAACTTGCTCCCAGGATGCACTCAAACTGCACTATGGGAGCTTCTAGAGCAGGTCTTGCCAACAGCCTGGGGGAGTGCCAGAGAAACATATTCAGTCAGCTCAACCAGCTCCACTGTCTCACACAGAGCACTTGCTTCCTTTTGCATCCAGGGGTCCAGGTAGAGAGGACACAGTGCTGCTCTTCAGACACTTCGGCCCCCCTGGAGACAGAGCAGCTGTATGGGGCTGGAACTTAATGAGCCAGTGCCAGCAGGTGTTTTATCCAATGAGGCTCTGTTCCTAAAGTTGTTCACACATATCAGTGTTATATGTCAGTGTTATTATGGTAGGTGCAGCCTCCAGTGTTGCCTTGGAGTGTGCAGCACACCCTGCAGGAGCCTCCTTATATGCCATGAAGGCATCATGCACCTTTGGAACCCGTGTGGCTAAAAAAGTTTGCATCAGCATTGCCCATCTGGTAGGGGAAAACAAGGCTGAAGTCACTGTGACAGATGCTCTTCAGCTGAACATTAAAACAATGACGTGAAAAATCTTCACGTCCAGAACAACTGACAAGACATTAATCCCTGCAGGAAACTGGAGTATTTTAACAGGGACTGATACTGTGGTCTAACACTTAAAAGGGCCCTTTCTGCAACTCTCAAGTCTTTACTCTTCACACACATTAAGCTGTTGAAGCACAGCAGAAGCAACTCCCTTGCAGAAAGATGTTTTTTCCTTCTTTTTTAAGCCAGTTAACATAAATGGATCCAATACTTACCATTCTTCACTGTCAGAGGGCATACATGGTAGAGCAAAACAGACAACTGCCCTCACCACACCATCACTGTCAGCTGCAGCCTTCACACTTCAGGTCTCCCAGAGGCTCAACCCCCTGTCTCTGCCTTCACAGTGCCCTGTGGGTAAAGCCAAAGGGAACAGTCAGCACCAGGCTCTGCCAGGGCATGGGACACAACAGCACTTCCCTGCTGGTGCATCAGACATGATCTGGCTTGAAGAGCAAGAAATCAACACTGTCGCTCTGATGGGGAAAAAATTTAGTCATCACTTACACCAGCAGGTCCCCAGGAGCTGTGGCTGCTCACCCAGTGCAGCTGTGCCACACTCCCACCTCCCCCAGCACATCCACTGGGACAGAGGTCATGGCAGAGGAACTGGCAAAGCCATGCCCACATCTGCAATCCCTTCACACTCCCTCACACCCTGGCCAGCAAGGGGCAGGGCAGATAAGGCTCAACCAGCAGCACCTCTTAAAGGGACACACTTCAGCCAGAACGGTTCCTGTCCCTTGCTGGGGCAGTCCATCACCCACCTGTCTGTGCAGGGTGTCCTCAGTGAGCCTCTGAACACAGTGCAGCAGGGAAACCAACAGGGCAGAGCTGTAAGCCCCTGTGCTGCTCCAGCTCAGCACACAGCAAGTGCAGCTTGCAGACTTCCTGCCCTGCTGGTTTTTTCACAAGCCCCATCTGCCACTTTGGACATGCTGGAACAGGAGGCCCAAAGGACCTCATTCCAATGCTCATGCACGAGGGAAATCTCTGCACTTTCATCTCTACAATACTCACATCTGTCTACTCCCCAGGGACAAAGTGGGAGCAACTCCCTTGCAGAAAAAGGTACTTCCTCCCCCCTCTTTTTTTTATTTTTTTTAATTTAATTTTAACATGTGATTCACAATTACTTTTAAGACTTACCATTATTTGCTAGAGTGCAAGCATAGTGGAGCAAAACAGACAGCTGCTCTCACCACACCATCACTGGCAGCTGCAGCCTTCACACTTCAGGTCTCCCAGAGGCTCAACCCCCTGTCTGCCTTCACAGTGCCCTGTGGGTAAAGCCAAAGGGAACAGTCAGCACCAGGCTCTGCCAGGGCATGGGACACAGCAGCACTTCCCTGCTGGTGCATCAGACATGATCTGGCTTGAAGAGCAAGAAATCAACACTGTCGCTCTGATGGGGAAAAAATTTAGTCATCACTTACACCAGCAGGTCCCCAGGAGCTGTGACTGCTCACCCAGTGCAGCTGTGCCACACTCCCACCTCCCCCAGCAGATCCACGGGCAGCAAGGGAGTTTATGCTGATCTTTCCCCCAAAACAGCTGGCTGGTCAGCATGCTCAACAGGCACACAGGACAGGGAAATATTCCCCCCAAAAATTAAGAACAAACACCTATGTACGGGGGTTCCAGAGCAGAGCCCAAGACAGTCAAGGCATGTAAAAGAGGCAATAAGCAGAGATTAATAGCTTATTACTTTTTGCAGGCCCAGGCTTTCTGTCCGTGAGGCTCCTGCAGCAGGAGCCGTGCAGGCCGCAGGGCGGCACAGCTCGGCCGTGAGCACCGGGACCCGCAGTGCCCAGCACTGCCCGTGGCGGGGCAGGACCCCGGACCACCCCGGGGCCAGCACCCACCGCCCTGCCCGGGCTGCAGCCCCTGTCCCGCGGGGAGAGGGACCCGCCGGGCCAGCGGCCGTACCACACGTGACAGCTCTCCAGGGACACCAACGCGTTGCAGGAGCAATTTATTTATATGTGCATATACGCAGAAATAAATATGTTTGAACATATTAAAAATTATATACTTAAACGTACATATTTAAACCACTACTGCACAGTCACTTTACGCACTCACCGCTCCCCCCCCGCAGGGGCTCAGACCCTGCGGCACACCCCGGGTACGTGCCCCCATCGCCGGCCTGGTCCCGGTCATGGGCCTCCCAGAGGCGTCCCGGGCTCCGGCTCGCCCTGCAGGGAAACAAGTTAGAGTCAGCACCGAGGAACAGTCATTACCAGCCCTCGACCACCCCGGGCCCGCGCGGCTCGCTGGTGGCATCAGACACGAATCTGCTTGAGCAGTGCTTCAAACTGTTCGCTCTGACGGGACGGAAAGATCCACATCCACCGCGAGCGCCCAGGCGGGTGCCAGAGAGCTCTGTGTGGCCGCGCCCCGACAGCCGGCCCTCCGGAACGCGGGTGGAGCCCCCGCAAGGAGCCGCCGGCAGACCACCCGCACCGGCGACGAGCCGACCCCCGGAACGAGCACTGGGATAGGTCCCACCCGCCCCCCGGCCCACCCGCACGCGTCCCCAAGTGCGCACACCCACCTCGGCGCGCGCACAAAAGAGACCGAGGGCCCGCGGACAGGCCTTTATGGGCTGCGCAGGCCCCGGCCCGCGCCGAGGGCGGTGCCGCCGCCACTGTCGAGCCGGCCGTACGCGGGGGGGCCGCGGGTGCCCTCCGCTCATCCGCCATTTCCCCGCGGCTCCGCTCCGCATTCCGCCGAGGGCCGCAGGGCCGACCGTCTGTGCCCTCCATTTGGCTGCCGCGGGTCCGCGAGGCTGTGCAGGGGGCAGAAGACGCGGCCGCGGCGGTGGGGCCGCATTTCGCGGTGCCGCAGGGCGGGCGGCGGCGCCTCATGGCGGGTGAGCCGCGGCCGGGGCCGAGGTGCGGCCGGTGTGCTTCGCCGGGATGGGCGAGCGTGGCTTAATTTTCCCTTCTTAATGGAAAAAAAATCCCCAGCGGTTCAGAGGTGTTCAGTGACTCACCCAAAGGCACGTGCAGGTGCGGTGCCAACATCCCTCACGCCTCTGATCACCCTCAGCCCGGAGCAGGAGCCCCACAGGCGGTTCGGGGGCCGCCCGATGACCCCGTGTTTTCTCCGGGACGGGGCTCGGCGCGGGTCTGTGTCCGTGTCTGGGGTACGTGCCACAGTCGGGTACTTTGCTTTTAGCTGCTAGAGACTGGCAAGTCACGTTGCGTTAGTTTGCCACTGGGTCAGGAATGGAACAGAGAACAAAGGATGTCTTGAATGAAAACAGCCCTGCCTGTAATTCAAGCGCTGCCGTGACTGATTTGTAGCTTTTATAGCTACAAATGCACCTTGGAAACGGGCTGTGAATCCAGCCATCCAGATCTAGTGGAGACGTGCCACATGACATCCTCGAGCACACGTGGAAGGTATTCCCAGAGTCCTGCACTCCGGCGGTGTGAGCACCTCTCCGTGTTCAGCAAGGCCAGCCCAGCACGGCCCGCCCTCTCCATCGCAGCGTTGTTCTGCAGCCACGGCCCTCCCTCCCGGGGAAGGCGGCAACTTCTGGCCCTGGAATAACACCAGCTAAAAGATGGGGGTTGAAATGGAATCACGCAGGGGCACAGGCAAGGAGAGGCACAAAGCCGGAGGCCAGTTTCCATCAGCAGAGGAGTTTCTGGGGAATAAACACAGGAGCTGAACAGCCCTGAGTGCTGCAGGAAGCTGCTTTGGTCCAGACTAGCTCAGAATCATGTAATTGCTCCACGCTTCGGGTTTTTCTGTTTGTAAAACACACACAGATTCTGCCAAGGCTCGAGAGGGTGTGAGAAGGGTGACTTGTCCTGTGGTGCTTCACAAACCAGCACCTTGGCACCAGGTCCTACCATCTCATCAAGGATTCGGTGACCTGACTGAGCTGGTTGGGAGGTGAGAGCATCTCGAGAGAGACCTGCGGAAGGGGCAGGTCAGGGATGGTGCTTGAAACATGATGAAAGCAGGAAAAGGCACCTGATCAGTTTGTTGGCTGATTTGCAAAATACAGCCAAGGCTCTGCAAATCTGCCTGGGGCAGCCACGGGAGGTGTTTTAGATGCTCTGAAAGATAAGCCTGCCTTGTTTTACTTGTCCAGTAGTATCTACAGGCACATCCTGCAGGGACATAAATGGGCCTTACAGGATGTTTGGCAGAAACTGCTTAATTCAGGTACTGTTAAAATGCTTTTTCCAGATTAAGTGTGTTTGTAGGCAACTAATTCTTGAAAGCAGCCTATCAAACAGGACTTGTGGAATAAATCTCAATGCCATTAATCCAAGTTCCAGAACACCAAAAGATGAAAAGACAATCACAGGAAGGACATTTTAAAGAAGATTACAGGGAAAACTAATCTTGTTATACTGCAAACCCATGTCACATGCACAGTGCAAAAAGGAACTGTAAACATGATTTGTGTTGACTAGCTTGGCAAGGAAGGGAAAGTGAGAAGGTCTGGGGTACTCAATAGCTGCAGCAGAGCTTAGTATTGTATTTATTTGATTTCACTGCGTTTTATTCTCCATGGCAAAACCAAGTGGAAAATGTCTTTAGCAAGATGAGTTCTTCAGCTCAGTCAGGGCTCGTTAGACTCAGGAAGTTCCTCAAGAGGCAGCAAAAGTCTCTCCAGTCCCAGTTCTCCCCACTGTTTCCTTGCAGTGGGAACTCTGGTGTGGGCACCTCGGGACAGAGCAGCAGCCTGTGCCCTGCAGCTCCTCCCCAGAGCATCAGCCCGGCCTGGGCACAGGGTGGGCACTGCTGGCACCTCCTGCCCCGTGTCCCTCTGCCTGCTCTGGGCGAGTCCCATGGCAGCAGAGCCCCTGCCCAGCCTCATGGGCATGCCCAGGGTGAGGGTAAAAGGCTAAAAGGCCCATGGGTGTTTTTGAAAGTACCACAGCTTGAGACAAACGTGTTTGTATTCCCTGCCAGCCCTCACAGGGGCTGTGGCAGCATCTCCTGAACCCCAACACGAGTGTGAGCACACGGGCTGTACCAACAGGGTGTTGACAGTGACCACCAGGACTGCCTGCTTTGGGAGCAATGATCTCCCTTCTGGGCTGACAAAGGCATTTAAACATAACAGATTGTCTTTTGTTTGGAAATAACAAACACAAGTGGAAGAACAGGGTGAAAGCATTAAAAGCTCTGTGGAGAACAGGTTCCTGCATCATTAACATGGGACTTTTAAAATCTAAACTATCCTCTATTAGCAGGCTGCTAAAAATACTGTGAAAGTGGAAGTGGGAGAATGAGTAAAGTTTAAAAGCACTATAATGTGTCATTTTTAATCAAAGACAATTTTGTTTCCTTAGGATCCTGCTAGTGCTATACAAAATAATTTGTTTCATCAAATAATAAAATGAACTCTTGTATAAGTATTATAAGCAGCAAACAACCATGGGGTTGCTTCACAAAAGACTAGTGAAGTGGTATCCACACACCTCATCCCTGCCTGCAGTTAGGCACTTGTGGAACCTCCACCATTTGTCTTTATAGAGTAGGAGGGAAATAAAACTATTTCTGACTTTGATCAGTGGGTTGAAACAGAATTTTGGTTTGATCCTTAGGTAACAGAATAGTTGCCAAGTACAGCTCCATTTAATTCTGTTGCATATGTTACTAAACTTTGACTGGGGAATTAAGAATAACAACCCTGCTGACTCCAGAGTCCTTTCAGGTGTGATTTGTCCAAAAGAAGGGTCAGTTGTCTATATCCTAAACCAAAACAACAGCAACAACAAGTTCTGGGAATGTATTTTAATATTCTGTAACAAGTGTTTCTGTGGATCCAGGGACAATAACAGGCTATAGTCCCATCCAAGGAGAAAACTCCTCAGCAGCAGCAGGTGCAGGTGGGGAGAGCATTCCCACCGCTGTCAGCATGCTCCCTTTCCAATAGGAATTGTTTGGTAAGGACTTTCTCAGTTGGAAGAATTTGCAATACAAAGCCTCAGCCTAGCAAGTTTCTTTTAATTTTTAAATGTACAGCATTTTAGTTCTACAAATGTAAAAATAAAAAAAAATAAAACCAAAAAAAACTTTATTTTTTTTTTTGCTCATCATGATCAAACCCAACGTGATTCAATGCAATCTGGTCTGCAGTTCCTGTGGCCCGATTGCCTTGGATGATGCAAATACAACGGCCAAGACACGTAGCTCTAAGACAGCGCCTGCAGGAGCTGCTCTCTGTGGCACAGTCCCTGCGGGCGCTGAGTCCCTGCGGGCGCTGAGTCCCTGCGGGCGCTGAGTCCCTGCGGGCGCTGCACAGCGCAGGAACAGCTACAGGTCGCAGGTAAGGACACACCGAAGGAGACACGGACACGTGTCAGGTCTGGTTTGCAGCACTGCCCCCCAGTCACAAGGCAAGGCAAGGCTGGGACTCCAAGCAAACAAGGAAACTTCAAAGCAGAGACTTGAAGCAGTCCCACCCACTGGCCGTGCCAGGGTCCTCGTCTAAGCTGACTTTTAAGTTTCACTTAAAACTCCAGTTTAAGCTCCCATTAACAAAGCTGCACTAACACACTGTGGCACAAATAACAAACCGTAGCCACGTCACTTCGCATTCCCTTCCCTGCCAGGTCTGCACACCCTGCACGGCACGAGCAGGGACCCACCACAAGTTACTCCACAGCTTCACACACTGCCTGGACTAGAGCACAAGCATTACAAATCTATCAAAAGAAGCAGCCCCTGCGGTGGCATCACAAGAATAAATTAACCCAAAAAAAAAAAAAAATTTAGTATTACCATTTATTTGTGACAAACACTACGTTTTTACTTACATTCCATGGGGAGAAAAAATTCCAGCGTAAACAATGAACGGAAGCAGTACTGAACTCGCGCGGCTATCGTGCTGTACCTGGACCAAGGCAAACCTCATCGCGCACCCTCCGTGCGCAGGAACACAACATCAAAAGCAACACAGTTATATATAAACATAGGTAATTTTTTTCAGCCCTACATGGAGATGTAATTAAACAGTATAAAGCACTCAAGGAAAATCAATCTGCGGTTTTTATATGCACTACATTGAGATCATATCCTGTACTGTAGGAGCTGTGAGCCACCAACGCACAGTCCCCTAAAACACAGCTCAGAGATCACTGAAAGTCACGTTGCATTCGAGTTCCCCTACCCCACACTCAAGAAAACTAGAAATTAAACCAAAAATGATCAAACCAAGTTTAAAATTCCTAAAGTGTTTTAATTAACTCAACCATTGGATAATTAAGGTTGGTTTGCGAAAATATGGGACTTTTTAAAATGGTGGGACACAGCCTGTTTCCAGTGAAACGCTGCTATTCCAATAAAACCAAAATAACCACATACATGGATATGATCTTCCCAAGTTAGTTCACAGGTAACATGTCAGTCTCAGAAGACAAAGTTTCTAAACTGTGCTATTGTCCTAGATACAATTAAGAAACTTTTAAATGAAAAATTTATAGTGTCATTTCAATCAAAACAACATAATGAAACTAAAAATGTATCACTGTTTGAAGAAAAAGCAACAGTTATGATTTAGACACTACAGTAGGTTGTAGAGACTGTAGCACTCTAACAGTTAGGTTACATTAAGAGGAAGCATTTGATTTTCTCTGGTGCTTTCAGGTTTGGGTTCAGTCAAGAGCCTGTTTCAGGCAGTGCTGTCCAGTGTTTGTCCCAAAGGGTTTGCGCTCGCCGGTTTGAGGAGAGGGTCACTTTCCATTTCTTGTTTCACACATCTAAAATGAGAAAACACCTGTTACTTAGGAGACAAAACACTGTTTCCATGAATAAGATGCTTTAAATCAGATACAAAGAATTTGGGGTGCATATAACAATCAGTTGGTGCTTTGGGAATCCCACCACTGTTAATTTGAGAGCTTATCATCTCAATGAGAGACTCAACTTTCTCTCCCCCCAACCCATTCAAGGGACTAATTTACCACCCCTCCATGTTTCTGCTGGAAATGAGCTTTGAGCCCTGCACATCCCTTTCCATGTGAGACACAGGAGTGTGAGAGAGAGGAAGAGGGAGAGGAGCAGCTCAAACCCCGAACGCTGAGTGCCACTACACAGCCACACTCCTGATAGAGAAATGGGAAAGGGCAGCTCAGCAGAGGGAGGCCAGAACTGCCAGGGGTCAGAGCTGTCACCCTGGGCTGGGGTCACCCACTGCTGGGGTCACCCACTGCTGGGGTCACACCTGTCACGTGTCACCCACTGTTGGGGTCACAGCCACCACACTTCACACCCACTCACTCCTGTCACATGAAAAATGCCAATCTTGATCATCCAACCCTCCTGGTCCTGCTGGAGGGCCAACAGCCCCCAGCATTTTAACTTTTCTGGTCAAGAAAACCCCTCACATGTTATTTGCCTACAGACCCTCACAGGGTTAACTTGCATCAGTGCAAGGGAAGTCAGTGGGTCCCACTCACACAGACATTGGTCCATTTCCTGTCCTTGGCATCTCTGTGGTTTGTTGGTCCAACTCAGACAGCAACTTTAAAATATTCAGTGCAGCCTAAAGAGAAGAGAGAGCACTCATCAATTCAGCCTCAGGCCAGTTCAGTAATTTAGTGAAAGCACTCACTTCAACCAACCAAATGTTCTAATTTTGGTGATATATTTTTTAAGATGCATATTTATGGTGGAAAATGCAATGGGGTAGAATTTCATCTTGCTTCATTAACCAGTGGGATGGTGCTGTGACTGGGGGATTCCCACAGCACTTGTTTCAGCAGTGGGGGAAAATTAACACACAGGACTAGGAACAGCAAGAAAAAAGGCACTAAACTAGTAACTGCTCAAACTGTGCAGAGCTTAAGAGAAAGGACAGAAAAATACACAGAACCAAAAAGTCCCCTGCCAAAAAAGAAAGCAAGTTACACAAGACTCAAAAATACAGCACAGGTAGGCACACATGACTCTTTAACAGGGCCAGTGTGACATGGCCCAGGCCAAGGTCAGTCCCCTCCTTTGACATTTTTTTTCAACTTCATTCAGACCAATTTCAGGTGCAGTTTTCCAGCATGTCCCTGACTCTGGCAGGTGCCTCAGTGACAGATGAACCCTGACCAGAGGAAGGGGCTCATGATTTAAGATCCAAACCAGCTGCCCTTTCCTCTTCTCCCTCCTGCCCTAACCCCTGTGCTCGGTCTGACAGGAGCTCTGCACAGCAGGACATAGAATGAGCATGAAAATATAAGTGACAAAGATCAAACAATCAAATTATATAAAATAGAAAAGTACGGCAACAGTTTTTAGTACAAAAATGAGTAAACTCGGGTTTCCTAAGTGTATTCACATATTGGAAACGATTCCTTCAGGCTGCACTGGGGTCACCTCTGGAGTCCAGAAGAACAAGAACAGTCCCTCCAAATGGGAGCAGACTGGGAACATCCTGTCAGCTCCACCTGAAGTCTTTTATAGCCAAAGTCCCCTGCAGCTTTCAGTCTGGCAGGCTCATTCTTTCACAAAGAAATATTGCAGCCACTGTTAACAAAGGATCTTATTTATAAAGGGAGCTGAACAGATTTAGAGTGTCTCCTGCTATCCACTGCTGAACTGCATTTCTTCCACTTGGGATTCCACTCCAGCAGGAAGTCTGGGAACGTGAACCCAACTATCACAGTTCCCAGTGAAACATCAGCCCATTCTGATATAATAGGAAAATAAGCTGGAGATGCTCTTATGTTTTATAAGTTCCTTTTTGTACATTTACCATCATGTGCTCATGCAAATAATATCAAGATGAAGCAAATGTGCTTTTTGTAGACCAAATGTGCTTTTTGAGCACACGTTGGGCAGATTAGATTATTTAGATTCTGATATTATTAATCATTATTTCAGCAACCTGTGAAATACTAGACAAGAATTAGCCAGGGAGCTGTACAGCATCCAAGTCCTTGCTCCCAGCAGTTATATAAGCCTTGGTCTTCCCTCAGGGAAGGTCCAAGAGCAGCATTTCAGCAATGTTCATCATACCATGTCATGGCAAGACTCCACATCCTTTCCAATCCCATGGCTGATCAGTGGTGGCTGAGAGGAACAGTTTATAAGAGATACAAACTCGTTCTTGTTATTTTTTGGAAAGTCTTTATATTCAACCTGAAGAAAAGAGAAGGATTTAATTCTTTTCAGTTAACCAAGTACAGGAAGTGTATCACAATTGCTACAGATTATTTGCCCATATATGAAGCTGAGCCTTTGTCCTCATCATTCTGTCAGTCAGAACCACTCTCACTGAAGTTTAATTTCACTTAAAATGTTTTTAAGTACTCACAGGAGCTCTGCAAGCCTCTTGAATGAAAGTGGCTACTTAATAATGACCTTTATTCTGAATACTGCTATCTGCATTTCAAATTTCTATATTATGCTTTTTAATCCACCGAGCACCAAACATAGGAAAATGCACAGCCTACAGCAAATGTTAGTGTATGAAAGATTAGTGAAAGAACCTGATTTCAGATCAGCCAAGTTCAGGTGCCCACTGTGTTCCTACACTGGGACAATTTTCAGAAAATGCACTTTGATTTTGTTCTTCCAAGACCTCAGAGTAGCACTGAATCAGGGCTGAGGGTGGCCCAGAAACGCACATTTGAAAACTAAATAAAAAAGCTGTAAAGTTCAGTACATGTCACAGGTAAAGTAAAACTTTTACATGAATTTCAGCGGAACAAGCAGCCTCAGAACACATCAGTCACCGTCAGAACTAAAAAGCTTTAGAACAAACAGGTTGGGCCAGCTTGGAGAGCTCCGGCAGAAATCTCACAGAGCTGAACATTTACCTGGATTCCTTGAACGTTGGAGAGATAGTCCAGCTGCTCGGAGGGCCTGGTCAGGGGTCCGTGGGGGACGTGGCCTGAGGAGTTGCTGCTCTTCAATATGGTCTCGGCAGTGGGAGAGGTGCCCCCGTAGAGCAGCTCCCGGGCGATCATCGCCGTCACCGTCGCCTTGGCAGGGTTGGGAGCTGCCCGGCTGAACTCTTTGGTGTGGTGTCCTTGGTTGGCTCCTACAGCCTGGGCAACCTCAGGGACCATGGGAAGAATTCCAGCAGGAAGCTGCTGATGGCTGAGATAAGGCATCCGAAACTCATCTTCTTTATTACCTGCGAGGGGAGAGGTGCTCACTGCAGAGCCGCTGTCTGGGAGCCCTCCCGCCCGCACAGGCAGCAAGAGCCACTTGGGAAAAAATAATTTGTTTCAAGTCTCTTTCAAACTATCAACAAACTTGGTGAGCCCAATCAAGGCTTCAGCATCACTGAGACACAGTTACTGAGTTACTGACTCTGGGCAACACCTGCTCCTGCCAAAGGAGCCCCTTTACCTCCAGGAGCAGTTTCTCCAGGTCAGTCAAGCCCACAGACACCTCCGACAGCTGCAACCACATTCTAGATCGATCTTTTGCTTTCAGAATTTTTTATTTCATCATTTAAAACTGTAGGAGCAAATAATGAAACCACAGAATGGCCAGAGCCACTGTTAAATAATGTAAAGAGAGTGGCAGATAGTCCACAAAGGTTAAACTATGTATTGTGTGAACAAGCAGGGAGGAAAGGTAAAATGGAACATTAGCACAGTGTGAAGAGGCAAGACTTGACTGTTTACAGCAAACATCCAGCCACAGCCAATTGATAGCAATTTACTGACATTATGGCATAAGATAGATTAAAGAGGGATAAGAACAGCTTTCCAAAGGGAACTCATACAGAGCTGTGGGGGAAAATTGCAGGTGTGCTCAAAAAAGGTGGAGAAGACAGGGCTACTGAAATAAACTGAGGAGTCACTTATGGCAGAGCAGACAAATGAAGTTCTGCAGGACTGAGCTGTTTCAAGTCTAAGCATGAAAACCAAAAATGTGTAGATGGAAGAAAGCAGGGACAACAAAATCTGAATAGGAAGTCAGGAAGTTTACTCAAGATCTTCTGGGTGCAGTAAAATATTACTAAAGTCCAAGTCAATCTCAGCTATTTATAATTTAAGCAGCAGTTATACTTAAACACATAAAGCACCTGAAACATGCTCTCCAGAACAGAAACCTGTGGTGATAGACAGACTTCCCACACCGAGTCCTCCCACCAGCTGACATTCCAGAAAGCAATGCCTGGACACGGGTGGCCAGGTTTGGGGTGTTTTAGTTCCAGCCTGTCACCTGGGTGTGACCCCTATAACCATCCACTGCCTGAAACAAGTGCAGGCACAGCCCCTGCTCTGTCATCAGAGACCAGGCACAGACAGAGGTGGTTCTGGACAAGGCCATTCCTTCTCGCTCCACCTCTGTTTAGGATGACCAGTTCCAGTTAGTGCTGACACCCTTTCTCTATCCCAAGAAAAAGGGCCTCGGGAGGAATAAACTCTTTGGACTTTGAACAGAACCTTCCCAAGGGCTCCATTTAGTTTGCAAGGCAGCAGCTGCACAGCCCTGCTCGTCCCAGAGTGCTCAGTGGCACTGCTGGGGACACGGGGAACAGATCTGAGCCCCCCACCAGGGCCATGCTGCTTTCACCCAGGTTACTCACTGGCTGGAGTCTCTTCAGAGCCCGGCTCAAAGAAGGTGACTTTTCTTCCATCACCTGGTTTCTTCACTGGGGTCTTAAAAATAAAAGGAAAAGAACTCAAACTCACAGTATCCCTTTAAAATTCACACCACCACCCCCAAGTTTTAAAGTTTTCAAGATGCAGGTGATCTGACCAGCCAAAATTTTACTGAAGAAATTATTATTCAAAAATCTCAATTATTACATCACTACCGAGAAAAGTTCAGTGATTCTTATTCACTGAAGGACTAAAACTATCCACAGTCCAGAGAAGTGGTATTAGGAACACTCATACTCAGAAACAGATACCAGAATAAAGCCAGTTAAACTGCTGTTAGTTATTGGTACTGCTGAGGAGAGCACACTGGACACATATGAGCACATACATGAAAAGGAGAAAACTAACCCCAGATGCGCTGTCTGAACTCCCTGGTAACATCTGCTGAATCCCCAGCAGAGCACAAGGCTCCTTCCCTGCTCAGGGACCCACCAGAGAGACCTGTAACAAACTTCCCACTGCAACTGGTGACAAGGCTGTATAAAATTATTGCTACCAGAATCCTGAAACCCTCAGGTCTGCAAGTTTCTAACACCAACACATCAATTATCACAGGTTCTGAGCCATTCCATAAAGCAGAAATGCATTCCTTTAGCCTTCTGATCACTTTGATTTACTTGAAAAACCAAACACTTAACGTGTCCAAAGCACACTATTTGTCAGAGAACAGTCCCCTCAACACAACTGTTTCCTGGCTAGGGCAGAGAGCACGAATTTCCCACCCTTATCAGCCCAGCCTTTGCTGCAGCATTAAGGAGCCATTGGCTCCTCAAGACTCACCTTCTCTTCTGTCTTTAATGCTGGTTTTGGAGGTTGAGGTTGAGGGACTTTAAAACCTAAGATTTCCAACATATTTTCAGCTGCATTGCGTTTAGCAACCTTTTTGTTTGTGCCCATTCCTTCAGCTGTGTGTACACCAACTTTCACCTGGGCAGAAGAGGAAGAAAAACCAAATCAATTCCTAAGCAGTAGTGAAGGAATTCCCTTACAAGTGATCTGTGTCTCTGGCAGGCCTGGAGTCACAAAATCATTCTAGTGGATCATTGTTCTAAAGAAGTTGTGATTTATTATCAATGTCATTGGCCTTCAAGCACAAAATACCCAAACAAAGCACACAAACAGCTGTATTTCATCATCTCACCTTGGGTACCCAGGTTAGTGTTAATGAATCCTATTTTACAAAAAATAAGCAGCTCAGTATCTCTTAACAGAATATTAATGTTCCTGTTAATTAAAACATCAGGTAGTTACAACATAGACTTCTGGTGCCCTATGCAATTTTGTTCTTAAACCTGACTCAGATTACTTTTCCTGAACCTTTATCTCCCGTGAATATAATTCATTAGATATTTTGTTAAATCATGTCATGGAAATCTGGCTGTAATCCTGTTAAATCTCTCTGTCATCATGACAACCTGATTACCATAAGAAAAAACCAAAGAGATCCCAGCCAGGCACCAAATCTGTGCAGTGAACACACCAACCTGCATCACGAACTCCCTGCGCCGGGGCAGCCCACGTTCTGTGATCAGCATGTACTCAGGCTCCTTCTCCTTCTTGGCCTGCTGTATCTGGGCAAGTCTGCTAATGGGATTCATTCCTTGACCATATTCTGGACTTGTTTGCAGCTACGTAGAACAATGTTTAGGAAATAAGCCAAAATTTGTGACTGTTTGGTTCAATAGACAAAATGCAGTGTGCCACTGAATTCACTCATCTCTGGAATTTAAAAATACTGAAATAAAAGCTGCTTAATGAAACAGTGTCACAGCCAAAGGGAAATACTCAATTTATTTGGCTCTGCTGTCACACTTGACCACATGTAACCTACCCCTGCTAATAGCTTTACAAGTTCTAATCCTGCTATATTAGGAGGGGCAGGCTTGCAGAGAATTTGCACGAGCAAAATCAAGCAAAATCCGAAGCTGTAAAGTCTGAGGCTTGAAAGTCAGAGCTTGATTTTTATGTGCCAGTCATTCCTGTATAAGGTTTCTCCTTCATCCTGAATTTACTGATAAATGCTATGAGAGTGGTGTCAGAACCCCGTTAGAGTGGGAACAAAGTACCAGTTCATTTGTGCTGGCAAAGACTGAGCAGCTCAAGAGAGTTTATAATTGACTCAGAAAAGCCTCTCCCCTGATGACTATTTGCACAGTCAAATTTCCAACCTTTTGTCTCTTACCTTCACTATTGATTTTGTTTTCTTTTTGATTCGTGGCTTCATTTTCTCAACCGTAGGAAGGGGTGGCAATTTTTTCAGTTCTTCTAGGACTGCTATTGCAGCATTTTTCTTTGAGATCTTCTTGCTCTTTCCTTCACCTTCACCCATGAATTCTCCAACTGACACCTTGGTTACAAAACTCTTCATATGGGGAGGACCACTTTCCTTGGTCACCTGTTTCAGAGGGAAAAACTGAGTGAAAGCGTGATAAACACTTATTAAAAATGGTAGGGCACATTGGTTATAGCAAACTTCTCTCAAGAACTACGGATAAAGAGATTTTAGATTCTCATACAATCCAAAAAGTAAATCATACTCACTCTAATAACATCATCCCACCCAAATAAGCACATACTTTTAAAAGATCAGATGCAGCAAGCAGTAAACAGTATTTACATGTAAGTCATTAACCCATTTTACTTAATTTACTGATTTACTTTTTCAGTATTGAAATATGACTGTTCTATTTTATCAGTGTGTACTTCCCCATAGGTAACATCACCTCATTAAATATATCATGGTACAGTAATAAAACATTACAGAGAAAGCAATTCCTTAGCATCCAGCATTTTAGTTCAGAAATTCTGATCTCTGAACTCTGGAGTTCTGAAAAATTCTCGAGACATCTAAGAGACAGCTGCCCACTACAGATTTAGTCTTTTAACTCCATTCACATCACATCATACTTCAAAATATCCATATAGTCAAAAAGTAAGAATTAATTCAGAGCTTCCACCCACAGTGTATTTTTACCAGTGATGCTCAGGCTAATCTGCAATAATTGAAAGTTTCATGTAAAATTTCATACAATGGTTTCAGAAGCAATTCAGTTACACATAACTGCATTTTCTTACTATAATAATTCAGATAGTTGACTTAAACGTTACTCTGCCAGCTCAGGAAAGCAGCACAATAAATTAATATTTTAGTGAAACAGAGATGCTCCTGTGGAAGCTCCTGATTTAAGATAACTGAAATGATCAAGGAGGGGCAAAGAGGCAGCAAGCAGCCAGGCCAAAGGGAAAGGAAAGTCAGATGCACATGAGGTCACCCCATGGCAAGAAAAGAAACCTACTTGTGAGATTCTGCACCTCAAGGGTGGTCCAGATCAGTGCTTAGTTAAGCAAATACTTCCATCCTTGTCTTTCAGAGTGAGCTCTACTCTTTTGCCTTGATTCTGCACTTCCATGTTCTAACCATTAATGGGGGGTTATGTTTTGGTTCTTCACTGTAAAACTGATTTTTCAAAAAGCTTGGAAAAAAGATTGCACAGACAACCACAGCATGGCTGTTCACTCATGTGATGATTTTAGGGCATGAATTTGTGAACAGGTGGATTTTCCTTTTTCTTCCCTTTGCCATATAAACTCTGAGACAATCAGGGTGTCTATCAAAGGTAAAAGTGTATTCACAACTAACAAGACACGTTAAAAGTCAGTTGTTTGGGTTTATCTAGGAGAGACTCAACTTAATGTGTACCCTTAATACTCTAATAAAAACAAATCTAGAGCTTGTAAAATAAACATACCTCAAAATTCACAGGCAAGTTCCTTTTAAGTGCAATCTCAAAAACTTGGCTTATTTCAGATTTATTGAGATTTTCATCATCTGGTTCTTTTCCGTTAACCTAAAAGAAGCATACTCTATTTAAAATAAAGATCCTATTAAATTGAATTTTATCCATTCAACCACTTTACTGAACTCTCCAAATTTTAAGTACTCTAACCTTTACTGCCATGTTATGTGAATGTGGAGAAATGCAGCCCACATACTACAGAACTGAAACTTAAGAAGCTCATTAAGGTGTATGTGTAAAAGCTTGCAAACCTTCATATTTTCATGTGCTCGTTACAGGAAAGAACAAATGGAATAAGGGCCAATAGGTTTAAAAATGTGTTTATAAAAAACCAAATTGAAGTGTTAAATGAACTGATTTCCAAATGGAAGTACCTTTATGAAATACAGTTTTCATATACTGATTGGACATTTGCAACAAAAGCACTAAGACAGTATCAGGTAAGAGAAAGGGCAGGAAAAATAAAGATCTGAGAGTGGGACCAATGTGAATGAGGGATGGGTGACCAGCCCCTGGCACAGTCCTGTCTTATCACATGCTCCCTTGTAAGTGCTTCACCTACAGCTTTTTTCTCATCTGAAGAACATCCTACCAGGAACTTGCCCTAAATCAAATGGTGTCCATCTCTAGCAGTGCCAGTGAAGCTTTTACCACAGGCACTTCTACGTATCTCCAGGTAAAACTTTGATTGTGATTTCAAAAACATCTTCACTGATGCTGGGATCAACATGAACTAAGAGGCAACAGCAACAGAGAAATTTTAGGACTAAGTGTCCAGCAGTGCTATTGGAAAGATTATGATAAAGATGAACAGCAACAATTTCACCAATTATATCATGCCACAATAATAGTTATGCAATCAGGTAATAAAAATGATTTCAATACATTATTGGAGAAGCAGCAGAAGAGCTGAGCTAGAGAGCTCTCTGGATTAAAACCAGTTTGATGGCAGCAAGCATCCCCTATGGCTGCTATTAATGAGTCGGTTTAAAACATGAAGGATTTTTTATCCCAGCCCTTAAAACAGCCTCTTCCCATCTCAGACAAAAAACCAAAATAGTAAAATTAATCTAAGGTTTTCACTTGTCCCACTGTCCCAGCAGATTTCACACTGTTCTCATGGGCTGACCTTGTATGTCAGGTTGGAGTGGCAGGAGAGCACTCAGAGCACAATGTCCTCCTACAAGAGCAGCCCCTGACAGGTGTGATCCCAGAGCCACAGCAGTCCCAGGCTGTGTGTGGAGGTGTCACAGGGCAGGGGCAGCTCTGAACACAGAGCCCACAGGGGACAGCAGCCCCTGCAGCATCCCCCCAGCCCCTCACCCTTCCCAGTATGAGGCAGAACTGGCAAAGCCCAGACTGAACACACAAGTCAAAGCCTTGATTTCAAATGCAACTGGTAAGTTCAGCAGGAATAGCAGCAGAAGGAATATCTGAACCCCCTAAGGCCATGTTCACTCCACCCTGGGGGTTCCAGGGGGAGTCTGTCACTGCCCTCACTGACAAACATGGGCACAACGACTTCAATTACAAATATTTTTCCAGTTCTTGTAGTTTTATGTATATTTTAGTTTTTCAAATCCCAACATTTTTCTTTACTACGATGACCCAGACTTCTCTTTATTGGATTAAATTTTGCCATTTAACAGTCTCTCAAGAGAATACAAATAAATAGAACAGAATTATTTGTTCTATTATGCTGTATGTTCTTGACATATTCCAAGCCTATGCACAGTGCAAAACACAGGTTCTTTTCTTCAATACCTTTATCTAAAAAGAGTAAATTAACAGTAAAATAACAATTAACAGTCTTTAGCTATTTTACTGGTTATTTTGCCTCTAGTTCAGTTCTGGATCAGTTTATTTTATAAATCAAAACTAATCATACACACATGCTCTCTCCCTTTCCTTGCACATCTCCAGGCAGATGATGGCTCAGGTTTGCTTTTGAAGTAGTTTGCATGTGTGCATAGACTAAACTCTCCAAGGAATCTGTGCCTCTAAATCAGGACAAGACCTCAAATACTAGCATTTACCACTCCTAGCTCTCATCACATTGTTCAAACCCATCTCTAACAAGTGAAAACCAGTCACAAAAGGAAACAAAAGCCATATTAAAACATCCCAAGCCAGTTACACAAATACTATACTCCGTTAGGAGGGATTTGACCCCTTCCAGAACTCCTTCCATGTGCCCTTCCTCAAGACTCCCTGTGAGCCAATGCTGCACCCCTGGGAAGGTGCTGAGCAGAACTGCCCTGATCAACCACAGCCCCAGCCTGAGTCTGGGGCTTGGTCCAGCTGAAGGCTAATATTATTACACTTTTTTCCTGCCACTTGCTTCTACATTTGCAGCCCAAGAAGGTGTGGGAAATGGTCATTCTTACCCTTAAAGTCTAATCATTTTATTCAATGATATCTTCTTAGAATCACAGGACTGTTTAGGTTGGAAAAGACCTTTGAGATCATTAAGCCCAACTGTTATTAATCACTGAATATTTTCTAATTTAAAAATACAAGAGTAAAATCGCATAAAAACAAACATTTGTGTTGAAAAATAATAATAAAAAAAATGTACAAAATTACCCACCCTCAAAACACAAGAGTTCAAACTTCAGAATATTCTGTTTACACAAACACACACACAAACAGAACACACAGAAATAACTACATTTAAAAAGATAATTACTGGCAACATCAAATGATTGGTAGGAAGTATCAGGATTATATCTGCTTGTGAAACCCTAATTTGCCTCCCTTGTATACAGGCATTTTAATAGCATCTCTCATGACCTCACACTCCTGTATCCTTCCAGATGCTTTTCTCACTGGATGCAGGAATGAACAGGGCTCACTTAGCACCAAAACCTTCCTTATTTTACCTTCATCTTGTCTAGTACAAAATGCTGATACAGAAACAATTCCCTCAGACATTTCTAAAACTACAATATCTGAAAGCCACAAGTATTAATGAATTTAAGTACCAAACTTTAAATGAAAACCTGATTTATCCGAGTGCTTGTTATAAACCAGCACCCCCTGTTCCAAGGCCTGCTCTCCTCTCCCTAAGCTGCATTTCCTACTGTTCCTTTTGCAGACTAAATCAAACATAAATTGAAAAACAAAATCACAAATGCAGGTTTCTCAGGGTTCAGACACCATTCAGGTCCTGTTTTATTAAGAAAATAATTCTCCCTTCTTGCAATCTCCCTTTACCCCTGGATTCACAGCCCTCATGCCAAACAAGACATCCCACAGAACAGGGGATGTGGTCATGGAAAACAGGGGCAGAGCTTGTTCTGAAGACCTCACATTACCCACCTTTTAAACACAACTCTATACATTTCCAGAAAGTCACCTGCACAGAAGCATTTCTAAAACAGGGAACAGAAAACAATCCAGTGACATGTGAGCCCATGACTTCCTGCAGAGCTGCTCCCTGGGTCTGGCACAGACCTGGGCTCCCTGAAGGGCAAAACAGCTGATGAGAGCAGGTTGTCTTTTACAGGGTGGGTGCAAAGAGAGAATGTTCTGCACCACTGGCACAGAACAACAATAACTCTGGAATTTGGGGTTCCCTGCATTGAAGGGGCACATCCTCCTCTGCCTTGGCCTCTCCTGCACAAAGCCCAGCTGGCCCCTGCCCACACTCTGCCTATCCCAGTTCAGATTCCAGTGCAGAGCTCACCCCCACTCTCTCAGTTCCCGTTCCCAGCACCACTCCCTTCTCCCCAACAGCATCTGTAATCCCTAATGGCCTCCATCATTCAATAAACTGCGTTCCCTTACCCAAACCACCTCCCCCAGTACCTCCCAGGCCTCTTCCTGAGCCAGTGCTTTTGCCCAATTACCTGGCAATGCTCTCTCTCACACACACCCTCGGAGTTAACTCCGAGTCCCTTGGCTTCACACCACATGTCCTCAAGCCTCTTGCTCTGCCATTCCTGGTAGCTTCCAGCTATTTTTATTTTCTCAGTCTGAGACCCCTTGTTACCTTCTTGCCCAATTCTTCATTTTCCTTCTTTCTCAGCACACAGCCAGACTCCATGTTCAGCAAGTTCTCCCACTCCCCACATTGCAAGTTACTAGTTCTGTCTTTGGCCAAGGCAGCCAACACACAGGGAGCTGTGCAGGCTCTCAGCCAGCCCAGGAGCTGAGTGACTCCTGTGCCCACAGTGAGACCTGCTGCCTAAAGCCACTTAACAAAAAAACACCAAAAAAAAGCAATAACAGGGTATTGGAATGCAAAGTGCTGGGCAGCCATAAATATATGAAGGGATACAAATCGAGTTCCTATATTCATATCAAAATGTGTGTATGAGTTTACTACTTCCATGAACTTCCTGCTCTTCTAGAACTCCCGTGGTTCTTTCCAAAATCATGTAGGAATTTTGCCCAGGAAGTAAAATCCATGTCTGATTTTTATGTTGCCCATTTATACACATCTTCAGAAGTTTGTGCATGATCTGTACCTGGTTAGATATTAATTCCTATCTATGCTTCCAGTGCTCATATCTGACAGAGGTCTAGAGCATTGCTGTGAAAAAATATGACAGTAAAAGAATTAACAAAGCTTCATCTGGGAAAACTCTAGTTCCATAGAAATTTATGCTTTAAATCAGTGTTGACATAAAAAGGTACCCCACTACTGCACAGAATTAAATTTCCCAACTGTCCTCTTCCTCTCAATAAGGAAAAAATTCTACAATAATATCTCAGTTTATCTTAGCCATTTATGCTTAAAACACTAAGACTAATTCCCACCTCTGGTTTCTCAGGCAAGGGCTCATTCTGCAGAACTTTCAGTGCTTTAGCAGCTGCATCATGTTTAGCAGCTTGTCTTGTTCTTCCTTTCCCATGAAACTGCTGCCCTCCAATTGAAAGCTCCACTTGATAAAGTAAGGGCCCGACAGGAAAAGGGTAAAAGTACCTGCAAAGGGAGAGGTAAATAAGAAGGTTTGGTCTAAAAAGTAAACAGACACCTATGTTAGATGTGGGTGAATCTCCTGGATACCAGTAACCATTACTTGGCACTGAAGCATTAGCATTAAAAAGCCACATCTTGATTTGGAGTCTAAACGAATTTAGGGAGAAATCTTTGAAGGAAATATCAACATTCCTTGTTTTACAATAGGAATACATTTCTGACCAAGTACAACACCAAGACAACATAACTGCATTTTTATAGACTTGCCAGGCCAGTCAGTTTTGAATTCTACGTTTCTATGCCCATATAAAATTCTTTAAACTGAAGCTTTAATTTAAATAGTTTCAGAAAGAACATCAAATTGTTTTCTTCACTTTTGCTTTTGCACAGAAAGGGAATGCAAGAAATATTTAGGTATTTGCTTAGTGAAGCTGGCTATGCCTGAGTGCCCTCAAAAACACTTCAACATTTGGCCCAGCTCCCTTGCAATACAATAAACCACTGGAAATAAGACAAATTACAGACATTAGTGGGTGTCCTTCTCCAACCCTCTGGCCTCATAAGCTGGCTCTGCTTCAGCTGAGCGTCCCTCTGAGGGTGACACAGCCAGTCTTAGGAGGCAACACCAGAGCCTGGGGAGGTGAGAGCAGGGGTTCCAGGGCAGGAGGCTCCCAACCCCGTGCACGTACCGTGGGGGGTAGGTGCCACCCCGCATGGTGTAGTTGTAGGTGGATCTCATCCCCGTGTACGGATCGATGGGCTTGTACATGGGCTTCTTCCCCAGCTTCATGCACAGGGCATTCAACTCCACTGTGGGGGTTACACTGTCTGAAGGAAAAGGAACAGGAAGGGTTGGCCAGCTGTCCCAAGGAACAGAGACAACCTAAGCTCTTATGCTGTCTCACAGCACGGAAAAATGAGCTTAAGTTTCGCCACACGCAATATCCGAAATGACTGAATTCCAAACAGAACTGCTAATGAACACAAAGAGAATAAGTCTATCTGATGTACACTAAATCAGCATTTGTGACAAATCCTGTTACAAAAAAGTGCATTTGCTGGGGCCTTGTTTTGGTTTTATTTTGTTTTGGTTTTTTGGTTTTTTTTTTTTATTTTGCTTTAAATTTCTAAAGTTGCTAATTTACTTATGTTCACAGCATATCTAACAATGTGGTCTGCAGAAAAGAAGCTCCTCTTCTACAAAAAGTCCTTTTAAATTACCAGATATGCTACATTCCTTCTGTGTCTCTTGTTTACTGAGAATCAAATATTTCTCTGTACTCAATGACCTAAGAATGGTTTCTATGACTCCTCACTTTGAAATTGCAACTGGCCTTGGCAAAAGGCAGGTAAATTGCCACTGAGAGCTAAAATATTTCTCTCAGTATCATGGGGATGAAGAACTGACTCCCTGTCCATTCTCACTGGAGAAAGGAGTCAGTAAGTGTCATTCTGTCTGTCTTTCTGGCTCAGAAATCAGTGTGTACTGCTGTACAAGGAGGTTGGTGTAAGGCAATTGCCAAAACAAAACTAAATTATGGAACAGGTGCACAGACAAAATAAGTTACTGCTAGTTTCAGTATTTTCACTGCTGACTGTACAAAGTCTTTCTAAAGAAGGAATTTAGGTGATAGCAAACACAGCTGAACACACGGATGCTGTCCCAGGCTCTGGACTGCAGGGACTGAGTTACACTCACGTGCAACCGAGATGTGAAGACAGTATTACAGAATTTGACATCTTAAACAGGTCTTAGGAGCAACCTTAGTAACATAAGAAATTCACTAAACATAACAAACTACAACTTAGATGCTTTCATCCAAATCAATATATATTTATCTTTAAAGAAGTACAAATTAAGCAAATTCCAATGTTCTGATCCAATCTCCCACATTATTTTTTTTTTTAAATTAAACATTTCCAAAAAATATTTATTGTCCAGCTTTTGAATTATTCTTCAGAATTATGTAACACATTCATCTGCCCACACAAAAGATTATTCTTTGCTATGACCAAAATTCCTCATATGAGGGTTTTTTTCCTTCTTTTTTTAATTAGTGGGTTTTTTTTAGGATTAGGATAAACATCTTTTCCAGGATTTCCCTAAGTGTTACAATACAAAACAGTAAGTCAAGCAGCAGGTTTTTCAATCCTGAATGATTTGATGGAAAAAACTGCACATTTAATTTGCTTCTGTGATGATATTTACCATGTCACCTACAACAACAATAGACTAAATCAAGATGAAGTTCTCACAAGACCTGGCAACTGCCATTGTTAAATAGGCAGAATCACAGTTTTTATTCATCCTGATGCAACTTTAATACATACCAAAAGCAGAAAGGTGTATTCTCCCTATGCACACTTTTTTTTAAAGCAGTTTGTTGTGGCATGTACCTGGATTCTTGCCTTCACTACGGGAGGGACGAGCCGTAGGCTTGGGGAATTTTGTCCCTTCCAAAGCTTTGGCAGCTGCTGCGTGTTGCGCTTTTTTAATACTAGTTCCTTCAGCTTCCCAGTGCTGGTCCCCAAGAGTCAGCTGCACTGTAAACACCTCAAAACCAGAGACAGGAACTTTGTTAGGAGCTGCTTCAGAATTCACACAATTTATGAGACCCTCTCACCCAAAACAATGAGCCTTTCAGTGGATGCACAAGTTGAGAATACGGTAATTCAAGCTCTCCTTAACTCCCATGTCATCTCCAGATTTCCAACACGTTGGGCACCAACAGGATTTCCCTGATGACTGAACTAAGAATTTCACACCAACTGTAGCTGGCAACTCTCCTGCATGAGATCAGACAGGCTAAAAACCCCAAGCACCACATGTGGAGAGGTGACAGCCCCGGGAGAGCTGCTGTGCCCACACCGCTGAACAGCAGCCTGGAAGCTACCATTCTGTGTGCCACGTAACTCCACTCCTGCTTTAATACTCTGAAGGGTTTTTTAAAGGTATTTTTCAGCAGTCTGAAGACAGTTAAGTTCACATTGAAGCATAAAAGCTTCTACATGCTCACAGGTGAACACAAGTCTATTTGATTACAAGCAAAGTATGTGGGATTAGGCAGGATATACATCGCCCGAAATTTTGACAAATTAATCAGACAAACGGCAAGCCAAGGTCTCCCTGGTAATTTACTTAATTAATTCCAATCAGAATGAAAACACAATCGAACAGATGCTCTGACTGTTATTTTTTGTACATGCCAGCTTGCCTCCTTCGCACCTTGGAGCTCAAGGGACACTTTGGGAAACCAGCTGTTCAGTCCCCCAGTAACAGCTCCACACTGCCCTACTGTCAGTACTCCAGGGGCTTCCCATTCCTCTCCATGACTCTGGATTACCTTGCACCAAGAGCACACACTTGGCCTTTCCACTCGTGGAAGTGAAAGAGTACGAGTGGCAGCAACAGGAAACCCGTATGAAGATTTACCTTGGAGTGAGCTGGACCTTGCTCACTCAAAAGCTTATACTCGGGCTGAATCTTGTTGAAACGGGCTAACTCATTCACAAGACACATGGGGGTTTTCTCTTTGGGGTTTGCCATGTTTGAAGGAGCTGAAAGATTACATAAAATCGGATAAATGAACAGGTAACTGTGAACTCTACTATCGATTTCAATTAAAAAAAAGAAATCTCATGGCTTAGCATCTAGTTGCCTGCAATACACCACTTCCCAGCAAGGATCTGCTGGAATAGCCAGCTCTGATCACTGGTCAAAGTGGTAACAATCTCCTGACCTTCAGAATTTCCAAGCAATGCTGATGCCTAAAAGGAGCATCATTAAATTCAACATTCTAACACAAGCCAGAAGTAGGGAGTTAGAATTCCCACATTCAGACGGTATCTTATGTGGTACATTTCAAGGAGCAAATCTTCTAAGTACCTATCAGGGTCATTTGCCTTGAATAATTTCAAAAGGTCAGTTAATTTCTTTTTCCTAATCCTATTTTGCCCTATTAGCTATTTTTTATTTATTACCTTTTATTTGCTCTACTGTATTTTGTCAGCATAAAATATTTATCATTAAACTGGTCATAAAGGAACTAGAAATAATAGAACTAAACAAACTATTTCAAACAAACCTTTTTACATTTAAAACAAGCTATTGGTAAAAAAGATGGATAGCAATGTGTCAAGAATTAAACGTCATGCAATTTAAAATATTCTTTACTATTACAAACTTATCAACTAATTATTAGAACTTGGTGGAAAAGTATGCTTCTACCTGTCTCAAACAGATTTCATTCTATAGGGAGAGAGAATAACAAGCTACTGCAGTTGGATAAATATTATTTTTAAAGTATGTGTAGGTGTAAGACATCAGAAGTATATTGTGCCTATATACTATATATATATAGTGTATATATATATGCCTATATACTCTATATATTATATAGGCATATATATATGTGTGTGTATATACACACATATGCCTACATAGAGAGACTATAAACACTAAGAATATATACAGTTATTGACAGTTATTCTTACCTGCAGCTGCATTGGTGGATGTAACTGAAGCAGAGGGCAAAGCAGAGTTTTGGATAGGTCTGCCTGCATTTTCAGAGGGCAAAGAACTGGTAGTAGAAGGAATACTCAAAGGCTGTGAAAGAGCTGGGGTTTTATTCAATATTTGGCTCCCTGCAAGGGCAGCAGAAGGATTCTGAATCTGAACTTGAGACATGTTCACTTCCAACCAGAGCAGATTACTGTAGGGAAACAGCTTTGAACGCAGACAAACTCCGTGTGGGGAAGACAAATTGCTGACCTAAAACATAAAGATGAAAAAAAGATTATGCCAAATATTTAGCATTCTCTAACAATCTACTGAAATTATTCCTCCATCAGCAAAAGGAGAAGTGTTCCACCATCCACTGCTCCCATTTTGTCTGCAGTAAGTCACTCACACATCCAGTTTTAACAGCAGTTCCATCTATACACCCTGTCGTGTAAGCTTAACACCCCTTGCATTTATAAAAGAGTAGTATAGAAGCTTTATTTATGCTTGTTCATTACTGTCTATGTCTTTTCCTCACCACTGAATCCACTTACAAAGCAAATCCAGTTACCTACACGCATAGCCACTGCTTATACTCTGAACAAAGTGTATAAGTTTCCATGGACAAATGACATTTCATGCATTCTTCCATTCGAAGCTGAACTTTTCCACTTGGAGGGCAAGCAATAAATGCAGTCTTTACAAAACAACTATTTTAGAGCATGCATCCTTTAGCTATAATCATAAGAGTTTTCCCCTGGATACCAAGTATGCTGAGCCACTTCTGAGGGGAATGAGCTGGTGTGCAGCAGGAAATGCTGCAGTGGCTCTGGCTGGGAAAAGTAAAGGTGCAAGAGATCATAAACTGTGTCAGCTACATGTATTCTGAAGGTTACTTCTATTTAAGTCAGGACATGCCTCAGTCACAGTTCAAGCATCAATTTAGAGTCACTTGGCCTTGCAGCACTATAAACAAGTGTTGGAAGTGCTCAGGGGCATCTATGGCCATGTAGGAAAACCCCCTCAGAGCGCCAGGGGCACCCCAGTCCGTGTGCAGGGCTGTGACAGACCCTTCCTCCACTGACAAATTAGTATTAGATTTCTCTTACACATGGATGCAACATTATCTTCATGCTCAGCCAGTGGAACCTAAATAGACACGAACAGGTCAGCTGCCCATATCCACTTACGAGCCACGTATCAATTTATTTGTTAAAAATACATTTTACAGCCAAGTAAATCCATTTTACACACAAAGGCACTGGCACATGCACACATACTGGTCACCTACAGATTTGATTAGGGCAGCAAGCAGAGGTTCATTCTTTCATAATTGATAGGTGAAAAGGAGAAATCACTGCTCCAGCTACCACCAGGGAGCTATTAGTGGCAACACAACTCCACTAGTGCTCTGTGAGCTTCAAATTCTGAACCTGTGAATGGACTTCCAAATGTGAGAGGAGCAGCAGTGAGTCAGAGGGAAGTTTTTAGCTAGTTACTGACAAAAAAAGCCTGTGAGGGGACCCTAGATTAATACATTCATGGGTAGAAAGATTTAATTATTTATTAGATAAGAGGTAAGAAGCTACTGGGAAACAACAGATACAGTAACAAATCTACCATCTGGAATATTTTTATTTTGGAAAAAAAATCATAAACATGTCAGACTTATCATATTACCACCTGGATAACTTTGTTTTTACTAGAGAGCAAAAATAGTTCAGATCTCATCAGTCCAGAAAACACATATGTAGATTATAGTCAAAACAAATCCTATATTGGACTATGAAATTTGCAGCAGCTACACACTGGGTGCATTATAACTATGAGTGTGGTATTAGGAAATCTGCCTAAAGGAAATCCAAGAAATCCTAATACAAAGAGGAAGAGTATTTAGAATAAGACTCCAGGGTAATAACTCTATAATCACTAAGTTTCATTCCCACAAGCATCACTAGAAACACTGAAAATTTTCAAACATAACACAACAATAATAATTTCCTGGGAAAGACTATAACAAAGTCTGGCAGTGTAATAAAAAAAGTGAATTCTCCTTTCCAAGTAACTGAACTTACAGTTTCTAACCCACATGTTTCAAGAAGACGCCACCGAAAGTTGTTATTTTGAAGTCAGGAACATCAGGATGTTTCAGATCATGCTGGAAAGGAAGTCTGGCATTCCTTTCAAAAACTGTCTCCAAGCAGTTTGCTTTTACAGCAAGGCACTACCCTTCCCATACCTGCCATCGCCTGGTTTTAGGGAGGCGGGTTTCAGAGCACTTAGGTGAGAGTGGTTTCCAGTCAGACGATGCAGAGAGGAGCACTATGCAATCCCCAGGAATTTTCTTTCCCAAGGAGAGAAGTCCCTGACAAGGACAGCACAGTTTGCTTTCTCTATTTAGGGCCGAGTCCCTGAGAAGCTCAGACACAGGTCAGACACTGCCCAGCTCCCAGCAGGACTCACAGCCTGCGGTGCTTGGCCTGGGACAGCTCCTCTGCAAACACCTCCAGGACACAATTCAGCCCTTATCCACCAAAACCTGTGGGGACTTGAGCTCACATCCTACTGCCTCAGACAATAAGGGTTTGGAATCTGCTCCAGTTAGGAGCAGACTTGAGCTGTGCACATCTGCGCACCAGACCAGAGAACTGCAGTGTCCATAGTCCAGACCTGCTCAGGGCAGAGCCCACGTGCCCAACCCAGCAAAGCGGCCGCTCGGTCACACCCGCACAGGCTGCAGGGGCCTGGGGAAGGGCTGGAAGCACCTCTCACTGGGAACCACCATGACCCTCCCACAGACTCCCAATCAAATGGAAAAGCCATTCAGCCCTCACGGACCCTCTGGGAATCCAAAAGGCACCCAGGCTCTCCAGGAACCAAGCGCTGAGAGTGAAGCCCAGCTCGGTTGGGCACCTGCCCGATGTCCCAGTGCCACCCACTGTGCAGAACACACACCCCCAGTGCAGGCACAGCCAGGCTTTGAGGAGCAAAACCACCCCAGCAACACCTGGCTCTGCAGCCAGGAACTCAGGGAGAAAGAACAGAGGTTCAACAGGATCCTGTGAGTGCTCCTTCCCAGGACTGCAAACGGCAGAGGCAGGAAAAGCTGCACTGCCTAACAAACACAAAAGGTAAGGAATCAGTCAGCCCCACCCTTACTGGGAACAAACACCTGGAAGCTGTAGCAGACACTGCTGTTAAGGGTTATCCCCAGCACATCCAGTACCTGGCCACACCAGGCTTTCACCACAGCTGAACAGAAACTTGTTATCAGGGAGGGAATGGAATTGTAATGAAAATAGAACTTTTCCAATAAATGTATCATTTTTAACCTAAGAAAATGTAATGCTTGTTTCTACAGAAATTGCTACCTCATCATCATGTTTCTCACTCCTTCACCAACCTCACCTTCCAACACTGAGATCAAAAGTTGCCTCTGCACCCTGTAAGTTATCACCAATTCAGAACTATTTCAGAGTTGAATACACTGAATTCAGACAGAACCAAGGCAAAGTAGGCATTAAAACCATCTTGTGAAACACTGATATTCCACTTTACAAATTTCTGACAATTTCAGACACTAGAAAGTAGCTTACAAGGTTATACCTTCCAAGATTATATATACAAATAACTATTACACTTTCTTTTTAAAAACACTTAGCTCACATTTTGGCAAGTAACCTCAAAGAACAGTCTGACAAAACAAACGAGTTTAGTTTGTATTTTTCAGCTACCTGTGAAGTTGATGCTGTAGTTGATTTGTGGGAAGTATTTCACTCAGGTAGAAGAACTCACTCTCCATTACTGCAGATTTAATTCCAGGTTATTTGGGGATTCTGAAAGGGTTTACAGTGCTTTTACACAGGAATATGCCCTTTACTCTGTAACAGGCTTATAAAATCCTAACTATCCAAGAAAAAAGCACCATACCTAGAAAGTTGAAGCTAACAACTCATAAAAACTGTTTCAGTGGTCAGAGGAACAAAGATGCCAGAATTCCAGGAGATTTTTCCCTGTAATCAGGGGTGAGCTGCTCCAAACTTTTGAAGACAAATACTGGTCTAAGTAACTGATCCCTACACAACACTTGAGGCATTGCTAGAACTCAAACCCACTCAACCATCCAAAGAGAGGGGAAAAGAACTAATGTTTCACTCACACCATCTGAGGCAGCAGCTAATCCCACAACTTGCTCCCTTCCCAGCCTCACTCAGTTACTTTTCCTTAACTCATCCAAGAGTATTTCAAATGTTCCCGAAACAGTGTTGCTCCAGAAGGTTCTCCTGGTGCTGTGGTGGCTGCCATCAAAGGACTCGGTGACCTATGGCCACTGCTCTACCTAGATGGATTTCCAGATGACAGAGGACTGCTCCCCACTTGTTTTCAGATTTTTATTTTCTTTTGGTGCATCAACGCCTGGAACGTTCCCAGAAATTCTGAATACATTAAAATGCAGAGTTCAGACATCACTAAGGTAACCAAAGAAATGCACAAAGATGTGAGCGTAGCCTCAGTCCACACAGTCAAAAAGAAATGAAAATCTTCCTGTATAAAAGCAAGAATACAGCATTTTCAGATAAAAGTTTTCTAAGGGCTTTTTTTGTGTTAGAATTCTCACAGGAATTGCAGATGGAAGCCAGAGGACCAAACAAAAAAACCAAAACACTTCTGTGGATAATCATGTTTTGCCACAACTTGTGTTTTCTTCAGTGTGATGTAAACAAAAGGTAAGAAACTTCAATGTTTTAAGTAAGTTTCCAGTACCTTTAGGAGATCCAGAGAGTGAAGATTTGGACTTAGTTCTGAATTGGATATTTATGGTGGAGAATGCCTAAAAGAAAAAACATAGAGTTAGAATTTTGCTTCCTAAAGCCAAAAAAAGCTCCTGTAGCAAATCTCTCACCCTGTACTGAGTTTGCCTCATCCCTCTGATGATGAGAACTCGCAGGACCCTTCCCACTGACAGGCTGCTCAAGGGAGCTGCTTTTCCAAACACAGTTTCCAACCTGATCCAAGAATCTTCATTGCTCTTTCCCCAACCTCAAGTGATGTTTCTCACCCAAACAGTGGAATCTCACAATAGTGCTCTTGCAGAATTATAAGAGTCACTTGCCAATTTTCTTTCTGTAGTGAGGCTTCCAGTTCTGTGGAAGTCAACTTTCTTCCTCACAGCCCTAGAGATCAGCTCCCAAAATTATACCCAGACCTTAATTCACAAAGCCAAACCAAAAGCAAGCCACTAACCCAAGAAACTCTGGCAGCTATTAACTGCAAAAATCTGATACAAATTTTACCTTTTGGCTACATTTCCCATCTAATGATTTCATTCATAAATAGGCATATAAAAAAATCAACCTAGCTAAAACCATTTCAGAATAAAATTATCTCAGTACTGCATATGAAACCTGTCACTGCATGGACTGCTCTAAATGGAAATCAAAACCTATTTTATTCTGCTTACAAATATAGCACAAAGTGTTTAATCCTTCTTTTCCATGCCTAAGCCAAGTGCGTGCGGATGCCAGCAGCATCACTACAGCCACAAAATGGGGGAGATCTCACTCCTCAGTGAGGTGAGAGGAGGACAGAGCTCTTGAATTTACTTCAGACAGGCATTTCAAACTCCTCCAACGACTCCCGGAACTCTGCCCAGTTCCCCTGGAGGAGCCCTGTGGAACATGAGGATGCAGAGCCTGAAGCAGCAGCACCACAGTGGCTGCTTGTAACTGGAGAGTGAGGAAGGAAGACAAGAGGATCACAGTCCTATTGGTTCAACTTCTCCTCTAGAAGGTTTTCTGGAGGTTAACTAAGCATCTGGAAAGCAAGGAAATGGATTATACTCACAGGCAGGATCAAGACCAAGTTGCACAAAGCCAATGGAATTTTCTCTACCTGCTGGCCTTGCCAGGCTCCAGAAGGAGCAAGCAACAGAGCAAACGACAGGTACTGGGCAGGTAGTGCCTGCTGATACCCACAGCCCAGACACCACCATGGGCACAGCACAGTGGAGAAGAGCTACAGCCAACAGTGCTTCCCAACACAAGGTGATGCTCCCAGGCTGCTCTGGGGAAAGCCATCACCATCCTGAGGTGCAGCAGTGGAGACCCAGCCTGAGCAAGGTCTGCACCAGTCCTGCTCCGTACGCAGGCACTGAGCCCTCAGCTGGAGCTCTGCACCCACGTGGGGACCCCCTCAGCAAAACCAGAGTAGGAAACACTCAAAACTCAGCTTCAGAGAAGTATAACCTGTAAGGGTCTAAGTACTAAAGGATCTGAACTTATATATGCTGAAGAGGAGAGGGCTGGCAGGGGACTGACAACGAGCAGTTCACGTGCTTACAAGGTTTTTGGAGTGGAAAAGAATAGTCTGTTCTTCACGGTTAAAGTGACAGAACCAGGGGCAAGAGGCTTAAAAGTGCATCAAGAAAACACCTTCTGATAGTAACAGTGGCAATGAATTGCCCTACACTGGGTGATAGAGGGGATCCACTGGTGGCAAGCTTCAGGGCACTCATAGACATCGACGGAGGATGAGGCTGGCAGACCCAACACCACAGAGGGATGGAGGGATCACTTCACTCCCTGAGTCCCTCCCAGCCTGGATTCCCAGGACTGAACACACTTGTGTGCACCTGGCACGTTTCTGTCTCCTACTGGAGGGACACAACAGCCTTGTTGTTGTAAGACAACAGGTTTGGCAGCACAGGATCTCACGTGGGTCCTGCCACAGACTGGCTCTGAGCTCTGAGAAACCACTTGAAAATACAACAGACTAAATCCTCAGAGGTTTTATTCACTGTCAGGACCAGCACACGAAAAGGTGTCCTGTTCTTCAGGAGGCACAGACTCGGAAGGCTGAGGGTTCCAACACTCCCACTGTGCCTCTGTCAGGAACCAGCTGTGCCCACCATTCCCACCCCGTGTGCACACACTCGCTCCTGCCCCACCAGTGCCAGCCAGGGAGGGCTTGGATGGAACCAGGGCAGAGCAGGCTGAGAAACAGAACAAATGCCAGATACAAACACCAAATTCAAATTACAAGGGCTTCCTGACATCACCAACCAAAAATCACAGACAACATCCAAGAAGCAGGTTTAGCTATAGGAAATGAGGTGTTGAATGAAGCACTAATTCCTCTCTGAAGAGCAGATGCTCCATGACATTGCACCTGAGTAGCCACTGGCCCTTGGCAGCCAGAGCAAGGCACCTTCCTTGTTCCTCACCAACAGCAAACTGTTCTCAAGCAGGAAAGTTAATTTATCCCCATTTCACACCCATTTATCCCCCAGAACACGAACCCCAAGCCTGTCCCTGCCAAAGGATGTGGGTGCCCTGAGGGGGCTGGCAGGACTCAAGGGGCTGAAGGGGGTGTGGAACACACAGCACTGACCCCCTGGCCCCCCATCACCAGTGGCTCCCAATGCCAGCCAGGCAGGACAGCCCAGAGCTGGGGACAGTGACAGCCCAGCTCCCACCACAACTCACGGGCACCCCACACACAGACCCACGAGGGAACAGCACCTTCTCCCCTGTTTGCAGGCTGGGAATGCATCAGTGTTCACTCCCAGACAAAACAGTGGTGAGAACGATTCCCGCTCTCCTCCCATTTTCTAAAGGAGTTTTAAATACTCCAGTGTGGTGGCTGAGTCTCTTTTGTCCCACACTCGACTATTTTGAGGCACAAAGAACAAATTTCCACAAATTCTAGGTTTGCTCAGATGCTTTGTTACCTGAAATACCTTTGAAAAACCCCCATCAGGGGTAGCTTTGCAAGGTACAGCATAAAATTCTCAAGCTGCTGCAAAAGTGTTTAAGAGCATCTATTTACAACTGGAAAGTCTAAATAAACACTCACTACAAATCAATTAAATAAAGAATAAATTTTACAGACTTAAGGCTATTTACACAAAATGTAAAGCACTGGTTGAACAATGTTTCCTTCTTAGATAATCTTTTTCTACAATATTTGGGCAAGACAAAAGCCCATCTCAAAGGCAACACTGACTGTAGAAAAAGATGCTGCTCTTTTTGGTAAGGGCACAAACACTAAATGTTATGCAAAGTGGTTTGGGAGCTGAGACATGGATTATTAATAGGAAAACAAAAGCCCAAAATTTGAAAGTAAAAGCTAAAGGAAAAGAGGAAACTAGCACATAAAACAGACAGTTCCAAACATCATGCAAAACCATAAACCAGGAAGTGATATAATGAATGAACAGTAAACTGATACTTTAGATCAGTTAATGTTGTGACAAAACATGGAATGGTCTGTGTTGGTTTTTTCCCTGCAGCAGAACAGGTCACAAACCCCACTGACACTGCTGAGAGCCAACATCAGATCTCCTCCACTGTCCCAGGGCATCTTCAACACCCCAATGAAACCACCAACCCCGGCAGGGATCCTGGACAAAGCAATCAGAAAAAGGGCTTTGTGAAAGCTCCTCTGTCCGCAGGATAAAGCTGCTCTTCCTCAGGAAGATCTGAAAGGCACACAGCAGTTTCCAGTTTTGCTCTGACTTTGTAAAGTCACATAATCCCAAGTTTACTTCAACCTATGTTGTGTTTTGCCACAAAACACCTCATATTCTGAACTGACTTGTACTGGTAGTGTAAACACGATTCATGAGAAAAACTCTGAACAAAGAAACAGCAGCTGCTTAAAACAACAACATAAAAAAAGAATTGTTTCTTGTACACATCCTTTTAGAAGAGTTTGGAAATAAGATTCTGATCCAACGTCAGAAAACAGAAAATACAGTAAAAAACTCAGCCCATTGGCTCTTTAAATTCTCATTGAGACGTAACAGATTTCCAGTGAATATCTCTGTAAAAGTTTGAACAAATTTGTTGCACATGTGAGATAATCATCAGACAAACAGAGACCACTCTGTTACATCACAGCTGTAGCTGCATCATTAGAAAAGTTCTTAATGGCCCCTAGTATTAAAAGCCCCACATTTCTATCAGTTTCAGTAAAGGTAGGATGCAGTACTTGCATTTTCTAGTTAGAGGATACAAGATTTTATAAATATACTCTTCCAAAAGCAGACAACAGACTTCATTCAGATATTTTATTTCACTGCTATGTATATATATACACCTAGGCTTCATTGACATTCCAAGGGATGTTCCTCCCAGGTTTGCCTTAAACCTGCCAGAAAAGCAATGACAAAAGTACCCAACAGATGAATACATCACAAAAACGGATCCGACAGTACCAAGCACAGCATGCCCTGGATGGACAACCCAAACCCTGCAAACCTCGAGGGCAGGAAAGGTTTAAAAGGGACTTGTTGCTTCACATCTCCTGAAAAACTCGTGCAG